TCATTCCTGCAGAATCCTAAAGTCTTCTTTTATTTACAATGATGAACTTAAACACGCTCCGCCTCCATGCATGAAATGAATGTATTTCTCCTACATGAGTGCTATTGGATTTAGTGTGTGTGAAGCACTTTGCACTTATCAAAATTCTAAAACCAAAATTTTGGCTGAGAGCAGTAGAAATTCTAAACTCTTTCATGGCAGGCTCAGGGCTCTTACTTCAAAAAGTATCTTGGAATTGCTTTATGACTTGGATGAAACCCTTTGGCAGCCAAGATTTGTCACTTTCCCATGACTCACAAAGGCATTAGATGTGCCCATATGCAAAATGACCAGAGAGCAGCACAGTTAAAGCCAAAATAAACACATCCTAACCCCACTGACATCAATGGAACCAGGTTTTCACCCTTTTCGTGTCCCCACCTATGATTTCCAATCATTTTAATTGAAGAGAGGAAGCGTCAACTAATGTGCATTTTGTAATGCTGCAGATTACTAAGTGAGTTTCTGAAAATGGTAATGTAAGTAGACCCCCCTTAAGTGTAGAAATATTTTCCATTGCATTATATGCCCCAGTCCTAGTCAGGCCCATGACAAGTCCCACTGAAGTTAGTGGGACTCCCTGCAGATGCAGGGATCTGCTCACATGAGCCATGATGTGGAATGGTGTCGCATTTGCAAGTGCCACGCCACCCGTAGTTTAAAAGGAGAGCACTGCGATAAGGGCCTGATCCTGCTCTCACTGAAGTCAACAGTAGCTGTACCATTGACTCCTGTCCAAACAGGATTGGCCATTAGGTCAGATCTCTTATGCCCAGGGACACTGACAGATTGTTTTGACTCTTTGGGCCTGAACTACCATACAGAAACATTTTCTTGATGTGAAAAAGAAAAAAAAAAATCCAATCAAGCAGCTTTTTGTTTGGATTTAAACCTCCCCCTTCTCTGTTTGGAACTTAAACACTGAACCAGTGCCTGAGGACCAGAACCAGACTATAAAATGATTATAAACTAAAGTGAAATGGGACTACTCTCCTGTATTGTCCAAATTGAGTGAAATACAAGGAGCAAACAAACTGCAGAAATACTGTGAAGTTGAATTTTTTTTTTTTAAATCAGTTTTAATAACGTTGGGCAGTAATGCTATAGAAAACTAAGTATTTGTTTTAAAATCATATTTTAACTCAATAGAATTCCTTTCAATTTGAATTTCTGCTGTCTCATTTCTGCATGCTGCATCACACGGGGGCTTTTGCAGGATCTGTGTAAAGGAACATTAGTAGCCCTTACATACTAGTTTAGATGGGGCCCTGTAACTTGCCTTAGTACTCTGCATGTGCTCATTGATGAAGGGCATGCTTGAAAGTTCCCCTCAGTGCTGTGTTTATCATCATCTGTATAGTGGTAGCTGTGTTGTGGCTGCCAAGTTGTTCAATGAATTTCAGCAGCTGTTGCCTCCTTCTGGAATGGGCACAATCTGTGGCACCAGCACAGCAGCCCCAGATGGAACATTAATTTAGAGGAGCTTTTTCTATTAACATATATGAATGACACATGGATTTGGGATGAAGGAAGGATGGTGTTGTAGCAGCGGGGTAGGACTCGGGAGATCTGGGTTGTAAGCATTCAGGAGACAGAAATGCTTCATATCTTTAGGGAGGTGAGAATGATTCTCCCCGAGTCCCCTATTCCAATGGGAATATGGAGCTTATTTCTAGCCTGGGCAGACTTTGAGATATCACCCCTTAAAAGTTAATATTTTTTATGGATTTTAAAAATTTACTAGTTATAATTTCTCTCTGCCTCTGAGAGCTGTGCAACTGGACTAAGACAGACCAGTTTTGCAACTGGAAGGACATGAAAAATAATATTAAAAAAATTGGTATGTACTCTTACTACGGGTTTTTAATAACAAATAAGCATCTCAACCAATTTTCCAGTAAAATATGTGGCATTAACAAAATGCCTGATGGTTTGGCATGAAGTTTTTACTACTGGCAGTCAGTTAGGATGATTTGCATAGCTCACTGGTGCTCCCAATGCTTGGGCCAAACAAAACATTTATACGAACCTGCTCATTGAGTGTGAGACAGATCACACTCACACAGGATAATCAGGAATACAAATTATAGCCTCAAATTCTATTTCAACTATAGTAGAACCTCAGAGTTACGAACAGCCCAGGAACGGAGGTTGTGCATAACTCTGAAATGTTCATAACTCTGAACAAAATTATAGTAGTTCTTTCAAAAGTTTACAACTGAACATTGACTTAATACAGCTTGAAACTTTAGTATGCAGAAGAAAAATACTGCCCCCCCCTTTAAAAAAAATTATGTTTAAAACAGCACTGTACTGTATTTGGTTTATATTTTTTTTTGGTTTCTGCTGCTGCCTGATTGCATACTTCCAGTTCCAAATGAGGTGTGTGATTGATTGGTCAGTTTGTAACTCTGGGGTTCTCCTGTATGAAAGACTTAATAAAAGGGCACTAGGGAAATAGAAACAAGATTTAAAGAAGCCCAATGGGTAAATTTCAAGGATCTCAATAGGTGTGTCATATAGTCATGATTGGATTTTGTAGAAAGACATGCACTGAACTACATGTCTCCCACCAGAATTTAAGCAGGGGTCCTTATAACTCCAAAGGGATAATACTGAGCAAGTTAGAAATACCTTTGAGCCAGGGGAGCATTTGAATCAGAGATCCTCATGCAGGGCTGAATCTGGGCTGGCACAACTCTACTGACCCCAATGGAGCTCCGCAAGAGTAGAACAGGAAAAATAAAACAGTCATATTCTTCCAAGGTCTGCCCACTTGAGATACCACTCACTAGAAGAGTGTGCAGATGTTCCAAATACGTCCTCCATGCTCTGCCGGGCTATGACTTGGTTTCCCCTCTGTGCAGATCAGGTACCTGTTAGGCTCTGCTAGCCTAATGGGCTTGGCTCCTCCTCGATTGTGGAGCTGGGGGGGGGGGGGGGGGGGGGCCCCAACTCTTCCAAATGTTAACAATTAATGGCATCACAAATTATGTCACTTGAAGTTCACCATGCAGATCTTCATAACATGATCTTCCCTCTCCTTCCCTACAAGCTTTGATCAACAGTGAAAGACAACATTCACATTTAAATTTATTCTCATTCAGCAACCAAGTTAACACTTCTTTGAGATGAGCAGTCACCATTTAAGTTTCTCTCAGAGCTTTTAATTCAGGTTCTCTGCATGAGCAGGCAGAGCTCTCTATCTGCTACATTTTGACTTTTTTTTGTTTTTTTGTAACCACAAGGTGAGAGAGACTTTTTAAAAAAGAGGAAGCTAAGATTTGGCGCATAAGATTACAGTTGGTCGTAACACTGCACATACACAGCCACCCTCCCAATTTAAACCCTGGTGCTTAGCGAATTTTACCTACAGAGCGAATCATTCCTTCCCCTCCCACCTCCACCCCAAATTTACATCTAGTCTGTCTTTCTTCCAAGAACATCGTCTTTGTCAGTGTTCAACACCATTGTGCTGAAAGCCTTCGGACCCTCTGGATGGCTGACATTTGTCTAATTCCTCAACAGGCTCTGTGCATTGGAAAGTGAACTGAACTACAATGACAAGCTGAAACAATATACAAAGCAGTGATATTTTTAATAAAGTATTTCATATCCATGATATTGAACGTGTTAGCCATCCATCAAATTCTCTTGGTTAACAGTTTTTTCTCTCATTTCTATAAGAAGCCCTCTTCCATACAAAGACCACAATGAACTACTTTAAGAGGCTCACTGATGAATGGCAAAAGCATGTTAGAGAAAACAAAAGGATTTCATAAAGCCATTTGTAAGTCAAAGGCAAATAATTGTGATAAGATTCATGTGAATCTGAAGTTACAATGACAATACAAAACAACACAGTATTAAAACAATCAAATTAGTAAACCCAGAGGGGGAAAAAACCAAGCAAATGGGCCTTTTAGTTTAAGAAAAAGAACCCTAACATTTTCTGGAATAATATCAGGTTCATTTTACAATCACAAAGATTTTACATTTGAGGTATCTGCACTCAGAGCACCAAGTAAGTTGCAGTATTGTGGTTCCGCTTTTTCTGCTTAGCTAGCCTGGCTGAAAATCATTCCTGCAACGTCCAATATCCCAACAGCTATGAATTTGGGGTGGTTTGGTTTTCGTTATTTCATCTCACTAACTAGAAAGTCCATATATCTTCACAATTCTTCCCAATCTGCATGACTGCTTCTCTTCACAAGTTCATCAAACAAAAAGGTTTACTTTATACTGCATTTTGTATACTTAAAGAGTAATATTATAAAAACATAAGTAGCTGTTTGAACCTTCAGATGACACTACATATTGTGTTTAAAATACAATACACAGAGAGTTTATTTTAAAACCTATAGAAAAGTAATCAGAAACAGTCAGTTGTATTTCACTGTTTTATTATAGTTTCCATGTGTTTTAGGCTAAAAGTTAGAAGGCACCTGAAAGAAGTTGGCACCCTATTTCCTCTACTTCTAACCATATATATGTGGGTAAAGGGGCAATTATGTTCTAATAAAACTCTTTTGCTATTTAAATGCATAGGTATAAGAAAGAATTAAACAGCTGCTGCTATAAATTTTGTCCTTGCATTGTAAAGATGTCAAAAGTGTATGAAAAAAGTAGAAAAATACACTTCAGATTAAACAGGGGTGAATAGATCACTATTAACTCATCCTTTAAAAACAGGCATACATTGTGGCACTATGAACATTTAAAATGCTAATATTTATGAAGACACTTTCAACAGGTTACAAGTGCAGTATGCTAGTCACCCCAAGTCTCCTCATACTCCCACTGAAGTCAATGGCAAAATTCTCATTCAGTTCCCATTGAAGTCAGTCAGGCCCCAGTTGTTTATGAAAATATTTCCAGTAGCGTATGTTTTATGGCAACATGTTTGTGATAATACTTTAAAATGTATCATTTACATGTTTTGATTCAGTAATTTAAAAACCACAATCATGGCACTTATGACTCCAGTTGTAAAAATGCTGGATAGATTTGATATGGAAGTAGTAACCGAACAAAATGGATTCAGGTCAAAAGAAAATTTAAAAGTTTAAAAAGAAAGTTTAAAAAAAAGTCTGCAGTTAAACTCATTACTCAAATTAATGCAACTTAAGTAGTTATAAAACAAGTTTGTAAAGTTCTAATTTAGCTGAATACTTCTGACATGAAATTCTATGAGTAAGAAGGATCATAAACTAATAGCTTAGAAATGGCCAAAGAGAAAGAGCCAGGTATCAAAATGACCTTTGTATCACCATATTTGTATATATTACATTTTCATATATTCATTTGGGTTCTAAACAGTTCAAACATTTAGCCACAAATTGCTGACAACACAGGCCATAACAGATCAACAGAAGGGCAATATTTTGGTTGTAAAAAGTTACTTTGAAAAAAACAAGGTATTACAGAACTGAAGAAAAACAGCATGACTGCTGCTAGTAGCTCAGTTATGAAAGTATACAGCTAAGTTAATTACTATTTTTATCAAGATGCATTATAAAATGATGACTGAAATATGGTAAATAAAATCAGTGAAAATCTAGATTGTTTTGAAATTGTTATTAGAAAAATATTCTAATTATAAAAATAATTTGAATGTCAGCACAGAACAATCCGTGCATTTATTTTTTCTTACAGGAAGTCTCAAATTTAGATTTTTGAAAGGAGGTTTGTTAAAAACATAACATATTATTAACAGTGTCTATATAATTTAATACAGAATTAGACACATGCAACATAAAACAGTAAATTAAAAGTGGTTAATAATTTCTGTAAATATCATTACAGAAGATCACAATTTCAGGTATTGTATAGCTGGCTATAGAGAAACACCCCCACACACAAAAACACATTGGTAACCTACTAGAAGTCAATATTGTTTTCTTTCCACTCACTTATTCCATCAATACACAAGACTTGTATATAAACTTTATTAGGCTATTTGTAAATCAGTGATGTTATGGAAAGGCCATCCAATTACATTTGCTTGATCATAATCTGGATAGGATTTGGCTTCTTTTTCCTTAAAAAAAGGGGAACTCAATTATTAAAAGAACCAAATCCTGGATCACTGCACAAAACCTAAATGAGACTTGCACAGGTGACCCATGTGGCTTGGAGTGATAGAATCCTCCCCCTCACCTTAGCAGTGGGGCAAGAGAAATGCTAGTTCCAAAGTGTTGGAGTCTTACGTAGCCCTATTAAAGGAGCTACATTGATCATAATTTGAGGAGAAAATTTAGAGGGGCAGAATAAAAGGATTAAAATTCTCCTTTATTAGATCTTCTCAAAAATGAAAAATTACATAAATCATCAGAAATCTATTGATTCTTGACACAAAAACAGATTTTTCACTTTTAAAAAGAGTTAAGACATAACTGAAGGTAAAGGCATGAACCTATGGAGTTTATCAATAATTGCAGCAGTTGTTTGCAAGGAGTCTTGTCAGAGAGAATGCACTTTGGAATGTGTATATACACAAACACATATATATATATACACACACACACACACAAAACCAATACATAAATACACTAATTGAATACAAATACACTATTTTTAAAAAGCTACAGTAAATTAATCTTGATTAAGAGTCAAATTACTTGTCTACCTTGCTGATCTGTAGGTGAAGATCAGGCAACTTTGATCTTGATTGTGTAGCCTAATACCTTAAACTGAAATGCAGACATTACACATTTTTTAAAAGACCTTCACCTCATCCAGGCCTCTCTCCTTAGGGCTAGTCTTCACATACAGTGCTGCAGCAGATCGCTTTAGTGAAGATGCTCCTATACCGATGGGCGTACTTAATCCACCTCCCAGAGAGGCAGTAACAATGTCGACGGGAGAAGTTCTCCCGCCGACAGAGTTGTCTACACGGGGGGTTAGGCTGGTATAACTACGTCACTCGGGAGGCATGGATTTTTCACACCCTGAGCAACATAGTTATATCGACATAAAAGCCAACACAAGAGAATTACCAGCTGCATGCCACAGACCCCATTCCATTTTACAAGAAATAGGATAATTTAGTTTATAATCTTCCTTCCCAGTAAGGATACTATAAAGAAAAAAAAATCTTAAACTTAAAAATTCGTTTACACACATAGTAAATACATTGCTGTTTTACACCATTGATATCAGGTGACCATAAGGTTATTTCTCTAATAATTTGCTTGTAGTCTGTTTTGCTTGGGAAAGCTATGGAGGTACTTACTGCTCTGCTACAATATAATGCATGTTTTTTTATCCTTGAAAGGGTTTTCAGAAGCAGGTATGCCCATTAGTAAAGGATCTTTCCTGGCATGTTCTTCACAATAGCACATGAGATCTGCTGATGCTTTTGACACCTGGCAAAAAGACACAAAATGGTAAATATTCCCAGATCATTTGCAATAGGATGGAATGGGCTGTGGGATGCATCCATAGCTACAGTGAATTAGTTCTGCATATGGAAGAACAGAGTTTGAGAAATCCATAAAATCTTCAGGTCCAGAGCTAAGGCCACCAAGCATAATGCAAAGGTTTCTGGGATTTGCTTCTTGGACTGGCCTTGATGAGGTTGGTAGAATGGAAAAAAAGTAAGCAAAAACAAGGATAAGCCAGGATGCTGTGTCTTTAAAGGTACTTTGGGAAGCTAGGCATGAGTAACTTTACATTTTTCTGAGATTTGAACAGCAGGTTCAGAACAATAGAGCAGGCTTCTAGTAAAAAGATTTTATATGTTTAGATATCATTGTTAATAATCACTGAAGTGTCATCAATTGACTTACAGTTTCTAGGAAACTGATTCAGTCATTTCCTTGCAAGACATTGCATGTTCCTAATCTCTAGCTGACTGTAAGAAAAGTACCTACGTCAGGTGTATTAACCAGTCTGCTGACGTTTGGACAGTCGGTAGACTGCAGAGAGTATTAATAAAATGGAGAATGAAGGCAAGGAATGGTATGGTTAGAACAACAACAAAAAGCCAAATCTTAATAGGTGATATTTTAGCTTAATCAAATTCCTTAACCACTGGGTGGGGCAGGGAGAAAAAGGGAGAAGTTTGGGCTCCTTGTCCACCATAATTTAGGTGCACCCTGTCTCAACTCTCTTCCTCTTTCAAGAGGGCTACAAACCCTTGATCTACCTGCAAAGATATATAAAGTAAAATTTAAACATCCAAAACTAACATGGCTCAATTGGAAAAAAAAACCTGCTTTAAATCACATCTCATCTTCCACCCACTCCATATTATAGATTTAGATTATAAACTCACAGTAGCAAAGATTTGGTCTTCTCACACGTCCATAAAGTACCTATTATACTCTTGGTACAATTTTTTCTATAGCAACAATAAGGAAATCTGTAAAGTTCAGTACCACAGGTATGAGTGAAACTACCACATTCAAAGATAACCCCTGTGAGGTAAACTGCATAATAAAAAAAATATGTACATATATATTGGGAATTTACTAAAAATATACCTGCCGTAATTCACATGGTTCATATAAAAAAAGAGAAAGATCAGTAAGAATGTTTCTCACCTTTATTCTTTCGATAGAAGCTTCTATTCTTAACTGCTGTACAGTTCTTCGTGCCTGAGCTATATTGTTTGTTGTGCTAGTTGTTTTGCTAGTCATTTTCAATGAAATCTCTCAAACTCTGTTAAGAAAAACAATTGGTTATTTTTCTAAAAACTGCCTCCCTGTATAGAGGCAATGCCATATGCTGAAAAAGGATTTTTAGTTCTTTTATGTGAAATGTTGACAGATCAGATATTGTACAGAGAAAATACTAGCAAAAAAAAAAGTGAACACTGTTGAAGCTTTTATGTATATTTTTTTTCTCCCTAATTCCAAGCCCATTAATATAAATACAGCCTCCACTAATAGTTTCTCCACTTGTATTTCCCTCCCCCAACAGCTTTTTATTAATCTATTTAGTCCCTTAAAGTTGAAGACATTCATAAAAGTATTCCTATGCTCATTTTAAAAACAGACATCTGCACAGAAGATTATGGAAAGTTGTATACTGGGCCAGGTACTAGCTTTAGAGCCACATATACCTCTCCAAAGCTAGAGTATTATTACTGATTATCATGGGATGAACTTTGCCCCTAGGCACAGCCCCGAGCAAGGGGAGGTTGTGGAATCTAGACTGTGTCAGGAGGCACTATGTCTGAGATAGATGCCATTTCTCTCCTGCTGGCCTCTGGTTCTCTTGTAGGTGGAGGAATATTTTACAACCGTCCTTACGTGGCACAGCATCCTTTCCCCAGGCAGATCTGCAGGTCAGCAGAGAAGGAAGGGGGCAGAAAAATGGCCCACTTGCTCATTAGGAGAGAGAATGTCATGTGTGCACCTCCTGCTCTTCTCCCCCCCCAACCTCCTTTACCACACACCCAGATAAGGTTATGTTTGGATTTTGTAGTGACTTAAGAACAATCTTCCAGCTTCTCACAGGAATCAGACATAACAGCTGCCAAAGTCTAGAGAAATACTCCCACTCCACACCCCAATTCCCCTCCCAACACACACACACACACACACACCCCCCGCATGGCTGGCTCAAAATGTGTTTTTGGTAAAAAGAGTGAGCAACTTTGAGTCTGATTACACTGGTCTACAATTTTTGAGAAGTCGTCTGCTTCAGAGATAAAATGTGCTATTTATTATGTATTTTGATGTGCTGAATTCAAATATGACAATTAAAACAACTGATTGGCTACTGTTTCTAAGCTATTTAAGTTTTTACATTTTATGTCTATGTATATAGTGTAGATAGTAGAGTTTTAATCATAAATTGTAAACCTAGGTCTTTTCATGTGTTTATGGTTGCTTTACATGATAATACTTCACCTGTCCTGTTTATGTAACACTTTAAAAATCAGCAAAAGGGTTATATAAATAAAATTTATTATGAAACAAAAGGCAAAAAACTATTATGTACATAGTTTAGTCCTATTCAGTGTCTACTCGGCGCTTCTTGGCTTGTCTCTTGTATTCATTAAATGGAGCATCTCTTGTCACTGTCCAGCAATAGTCTGCAAGCATTGATGGGCTCCATTTGCCCTGATAGCGTTTCTCCATTGTTGCAATGTCCTGGTGAAATCGCTCGCCGTGCTCGTCGCTCACTGCTCTGCAGTTCGGTGGAAAAAAATCTAGATGAGAGTGCAAAAAATGTATCTTTAGTGACATATTGCAACCAAGGCTTTTGTATGCCTTGAGGAGGTTTTCCACCAACAACCTGTAGTTGTCTGCCTTGTTGTTTCCGAGAAAATTTATTGCCACTAACTGGAAGGCTTTCCATGCCGTCTTTTCCTTGCCACGCAGTGCATGGTCAAATGCATCATCTCGAAGAAGTTCACGAATCTGAGGACCAACAAAGACACCTTCCTTTATCTTAGCTTCACTTAACCTTGGAAATTTTCCACGGAGGTACTTGAAAGCTGCTTGTGTTTTGTCAATGGCCTTGACAAAGTTCTTCATCAGACCCAGCTTGATGTGTAAGGGTGGTAACAAAATCTTCCTTGATTCAATAAGTGGTGGATGCTGAACACTTTTCCTCCCAGGCTCCAATGACTGTCGGAGTGGCCAATCTTTCTTGATATAGTGGGAATCTCTTGCACGACTATCCCAGTCACAGAGAAAACAGCAGTACTTTGTGTATCCAGTCTGCAGACCAAGCAAGAGAGCAACAACCTTCAAATCGCCACAAAGCTGCCACTGATGTTGGTCATAGTTTATGCACCTCAAAAGTTGTTTCATGTTGTCATAGGTTTCCTTCATATGGACTGCATGACCAACTGGAATTGATGGCAAAACATTGCCATTATGCAGTAAAACAGCTTTAAGACTCGTCTTCGATGAATCAATGAACAGTCTCCACTCATCTGGATCGTGAACGATGTCGAGGGCTGCCATCACACCATCGATGTTGTTGCAGGCTACAAGATCACCTTCCATGAAGAAGAATGGGACAAGATCCTTTTGACGGTCACGGAACATGGAAACCCTAACATCACCTGCCAGGAGATTCCACAGCTGTAGTCTGGAGCCCAACAGCTCTGCCTTACTCTTGGGTAGTTCCAAATCCCTGACAAGGTCATTCAGTTCACTTTGTGTTATGAGGTGTGGTTCAGAGGAGGAGGATGGGAGAAAATGTGGGTCCTGTGACATTGATGGTTCAGGACCAGAAGTTTCATCCTCTTCCTCGTCTGACTCAAGTGAGAATGATTCTGGTGCATCAGGAACCGGCAGTCCTTCTCCGTGGGGTACTGGGCGTATAGCTGATGGAATGTTTGGATAATGCACAGTCCACTTTTTCTTCTTTGACACACCTTTCCCAACTGGAGGCACCATGCAGAAGTAACAATTGCTGGTATGATCTGTTGGCTCTCTCCAAATCATTGGCACTGCAAAAGGCATAGATTTCCTTTTCCTGTTCAACCACTGGTGAAGATTTGTTGCACAAGTGTTGCAGCATATGTGTGGGGCCCACCTCTTGTCCTGATCTCCAATTTTGCAGCCAAAATAAAGGTGATAGGCTTTCTTAACCATAGTGGTTATACTGCGCTTCTGTGATGCAAAAGTCACTTCACTACAAACATAGCAGAAGTTATCTGCACAAGTACGAGGCATCTCTGCTCACTTTGGCTAAACAGAAATGTGTCCCTTTGCAAAATCAAACACTGACAAATAAGAGAGCACGACACTGTATGATTTCTAGAGCTGATATAGGGCAATTTGTTCAGCAGAGTGATGTAAGCTTCGTTATGGTTGCATCATCCATGACTTCTAGGAATAACATGATGCAATTAATATCATGTATGACGCAATACCAGCTTCAGATTGCATCATTCATTGTTTTGCCTAAAAAGCAAGTACTGTCCAAACCCAGTCATAGATTTATTCATAGATCCAGTCAAAGATGTATTTTAGTCATTTCTGGTTTAAATTGAGATCCCTTCCCTTTATAACTCACTTATCCTCCGCCATTCCCAAGTCAAGGGTCGTATATACTGACCCAATAGCACATCTTGAAAACTAGAGCCAATCAACAATTTTAAGCATCATTTTCGTTCTCAGTGACCCAGAATTAGTAAAGTTTGACTACATTTATTTCAGAAGCATTTTGGCTGCAGAGCAGTGTTATACTTTTCTTCTCAGGATGAGAATTCGAAGCAGCACTCAGGCCACACAGTTTTAACAGTGCTGCACTTGGACACTACCCATTGTGTTCAGTTGATCTCAGCAGCACATGACTGCAATTTGATCAAAGCTTTTGGACACTGACTCGATAGTGTGTAAAGTTAGCCTCTGTGAAGGCATGTGAGTGATTAGAGTGCAGGTTTTGATCACAGACAGTTCAAGCCTGTGACTAAACCAGTGCCACTAAATCAGAGCATCTCACTGAGTCATGCACAGAAATACCAGATTTGCTCTCAGTATCACAGACAACCAAATCCTAAGAAGTAGCTAACGAGAACCCTGTGTAAGGCCACACTGTGACAAGCATGAGAGCAAAGCTGTCACTGTGCCAGATCCAACTCAATGATAATGAAGAAGAAAAAAAAAGAAAGAAAACTGCTGTCTAAATCAAAACTGCTGCAAAAGTAAATAATTAAGCATAACTGTTTGCTCAGACTGGTGTTTTCACCTGGCAGGCATAATGGTGGTCTCTTTACAAAGACTCTTAAAAGATTCCACTATTATGGCCATAGACATGTATTTCATAATGTCTGTCTGCTCATGATACATTACTCTGCCAACTTCTACACCATTCACATTTCAATATCTATCAAATCACAGGGTGGCCTCTGAAAGTTGTGTAATAAGCAAGTTCTAAAGACATCATGTGATCAAGCCATTTTCAGTTTCTTACACATGCATGAGGACTACAGGATTGTGGAGGACTTCACTGCTCAACTATTGTTCCCCCCAACCCCCCCAATAAGTCCTGCTGAAGCATCATCTTTGCAAAGTCTTCTTTCTAAAAGACCTCTGTATCTTTGATTTACCATCACTTCCTTATTACAATAATATTGTAATAAAGGTGCAAAACACTGAAGTGCTGGCAAGAGATGGATCTTTGTTTCCTGACCCTCATCATAGGCTAGGGTCATGGTCACAAAAGGTTATACCTCTGTTACATGGCCAGGGTCAGTATCCACTCTCAGTTAGCTGCTGTTACATTTTGACTTTTTTTTTTTTTTAAGGCAAATGCAAATGAAGCATATCATCAGTCAAGACCAACCACAAAACAATGTGGCAAATTAAACAACACGTGAATAGAGACATCTAGGATGCATAAGGGTACTCTTAAAAAGATCAAGAAAGATGAGTCCAAGGAATTTGCCTATTTCACGATGGATTTAATCACTACTGAGGCTGAAGTCTCATTTTTTGAGCAGAAAATTTTGAGCCTTTGCTAAAGGTAGAACGGGCTATACTGGATCTCATAGCAAAGAAAGACAATCCTGGCCCTTATGTTCAAAAAATTATCCTTGATGAGCAAATGCAGCTCCCATTGAAAACGTTGGCCTAAGGTGACTTGCCCGAAGCCTCAAAGTGAATTATTGGAAGAGCTGGGGAAAGATCTCCTTGGCCTAGTTCTCCAGGCACTGAACACAGTTAGTTCCTCTGCACTTCGGTTGGAGCTAG